AGGAGATGAGCTTCAATGCAGCCTCGGCAAGACTTGGGCCAACTTCACGGGAAAGGTGATCAATTATCCCAGTTTGTTCAGGATCAAAGGGTTTCCCAGGATCCAAGACTGGGGGGTCTCAGAGACACAAGTCCTTGGCAAACTTGGAAGAGTTGACCATCCTACCAAGGGGAGCTCTGAAGCTAAGACAGACTTTTAGAATTGTCCCACATGGAGTCAAGAGGGCTGGCTCTTTGTACCCCTGCATCAACCAATCATTGGATGCAAGATGCCCTTAGGAAGGGGTGTGACCTCACAAGCAAAGCAGCACTATTCCGCTGAGGTCATTTCCTAGAGAGGTCTGACATCCCAGCTCTGTCTTCTGGAAGCATCCCCAGCTCTTAGCATCTGGGGGATTAGTTCCTTCAGTCCTGAAGAGGGATCCAGGTGGCACAGGACAGTGTCGAACATAATGAGCCTTTCTACTTGAAGGAGTAAATTTTGTCTTGAACAAATAATGTAAATCCACATCTAGACACATCACACCTGCAGAACAATACAGACAAAGAAGAGCTAAAGCCAGCCAAATTGGGAAGGCAGACTATCTACAAAAGAACAATGATTACTGAGGACAGCCTTCTCATCAAATAACAAATGCCAGAAGAAAATTAAACAATATCTTCAATGTCTTAAGGGAAAGTAATTGTCAACCTGGGAATTCTACACTCAGCAAAATCATGTTTCTACACTGAGCACAGAATAAAATAAAGACATTTTCAGACAAACAAAAACCTCTGAGAGTTCACATTTCACTAACCCTCTGTGAAAGAATTCCTGAAGGACATTATTCAGTAAGATGGTAGTTAAAGGACTGAGAGGCAAGAAGCAGTGGTGAGCAAATGAGTATTTTGTAATCTAAACCCTAATAAACACTGACTACTCAAAATTACTAATTTGTGTGGGGATGTTTGAAAACAAGATGGAAATACATTTTAGGCAACAGTAATGTGGAATGTGGGAGATGGGAGAAAGGTATTACATCGTTATAAGACCTTATAATTTTTTAGAAAGAGTGTGATATCCATTAACTTTGGACTTCATTATATCAAGAACGCATATTAAAATTCTGAGCATTACTCCTAGAAGAATAAAAATAGAACATGTAACTTCTAAACCTGTAGAAACAAAAAGGGGGAGCATAAGTAAACCTTTATGAATACAATGGAAAGCAATAAAAGAAAAAAGAAAAAGTATGATACAGGAAAAGCACAAAAAAAGGAAACAAATAAATTCAAATAGATTACAAACCCCAATAAATTTACATGATTAAACCCAGCTGTTAAAAGGCAAAAATTCTCAAACTAGTAGATAAAATCAACTGTTCTGTTCTTTTAAAAAGACAAACCTGAGACATAATGATTCAAGAAGTTTCAAAATAAAGAGATGGACGTATAAACACCAGGTAAATACTTTTGGAAGGGAAGGTGGTGTGGCAATACCAATATGAGACAAAAATAGATATTAACCAATCAATTTTTTAAAAATACTGTTTGAAAAAGATACTAAGGCAAAAAGCATTATTAGAAACTAAGTAGGCCAAGATGGAGTAACAGGGACCGGATTTACCCTCTAAAAACTGGACAGAATACTTGAAACAATGGTCTTTCAGACTCTGGACAACACACAGCATAGACAGTGATCCCTGAGAGGGGAAACAAATTAGGTGAACCCTATGATTGTTTCAGTTTTGTGCCTAGAGAGTTTCCAGGCTGTAGCCCAGGCAGGGGGAACCTGAGGAAAACCCTGTAAATCATGGGGCACTGAGTAACCAGAAGGGTATTGCCTCAGTATTGGGGAAAAACCAGCCTTAGACTAAAGACTATTTGGGTCCCACCTAACAAAACTTAAAAATAAGAAAGACTTAAAAGATCAAACTGTTTCCAAGTGATTTAGCTGTGTCTCAGAACAAAGATCAAGAATATTTACAGGCATACAAAGCATCCAGCATTTGGCAAGATAAAATACACAATGTCTGGCAACCAATCAAAACTTGCCAGGCGTGCAAAGAAGCAGGAAATCATGACCCACAATGAGGAGAAAAGTCTATCAATGGGAACACATCCAGAAACAGCACAGATGACAAAATTAGTGGATAAGAACATTAAAAGTTATTGTAACTATCTTCCATCAGTTCAAGAAGATAAAGACTGAGCATGTTGCAAAGAGACATGGAAGATAATAAAGACTCAAACTTAACCTCTGGAAATGAAAATGAAAGTTTCACTGGATGGTGTGAACAGCAGATGAGACACTGAAGGAGATACAAGAGGGAATTCATCAGGAAGTTATAAAAATCCTGAACCAGTGCACCTAACAAAGGAGGCTCCAAGTATGTCAAGCAAAAATTAACAGATCTAAAGGAGAATTTGATGACCTCACAACCACAGATTTTAACATTGCTTTATCAAAAACTGAAAGATAAAAAAACAGAGCTTTAAATTAAAAATATATGTGTGTATATATATATATATATATTTAAAATATACTTTCAAAGTAAATACAAAGTGGCACTGCAGGTCTTTTACTGAGGCATTTGTCATCTACTGTGAACTCTGTGAAGGCAGGAACTATGTCCTGATCAGGACTGAATTCTCAGAGCCTGGCATGGGACCTGACACATTTTAGTTTACCAATAAATAAATATTTATTATTATAATTCTAAATGAAGTAGCTAGAACATTATAAGGCTACTGAGGACATAAATGCACAATTAACAAGCTTAAAGTAATGGATATATATAAACCTGCACATCACAACAAATAGAGCATACTTTTTTCAAAAACATGTAAAACATCTAAGTGGGGAGAATGTAGCTCAGCAGCAGAGTGTGTGCTTATCATGCACCAGGTCCTGGGTTCAATCCCCAGTACCTATATTAAAAATAAATAAATAAGCCTAATTACCTCCCCCCAAAAAAGGAAAAAAAAGTAAAATATCTGTAAAAGTCAACCATTCAGTAACCAGCAGACAATGAAAAACGTGCTATTATGCTGCTGCAGGAGAGTTGTCAACTGGCACTCAGGTTTTCTAACTAAGTAATGAATTCAGATACTTTTGTTAGTTCTTGCAACTACAGTTATGAACATTGTTTTGTTTTCTGGGAAATCAGGTTGGGGTAATACGGCCCTCTTTCCCTTTCTTCATGCTGACAAAGTAGTATCACGTCATAGTTAGAATTCAGCAGGTCCCAGCAGGTGACTTAACAAACCTCACGACCACAGAATGTAAGGATTCACACCAAATCTGTGTGTGGACCTTCACCTTATTGGTAATAGGAAGCTAAGAATATTAACTGTAATACTACACTGTATTAACTGTATGATAAACTGACATTCCGTTCTCAGGAATATGCAGTTTTTATAAACTCTCCCATCAAAAAACCCATTCAAGTGTCATTAGCTATCTGGGTGGATTTAGCCTTATCTGATGATAGGCAAGAGTCTGGTGCCCAAAGCAGTCAAAACAAAATAGACATCAGTCTTATAGGATATTGCATTTTTTTTTTTGGTAACACCTTTATTGAGATACAATTCACATACCATACAATTTACCCATTTAAAATGTGGAATTAAATTTTTCTAGTGTATTCATGGAGGATGAAATCATCAATCCAATTTTAGAATATTTTCATTATACCGAAAAGAAATTCTGTACCCATTGCTCCCCAGCCCTGAGCAAGCACTAATCTATTCTCTGTCTCTACAGAATTGCCTGGACATTTTGTACAAACAGAATCATACAGTATGTAGTCTTTGTGACTGGCTTCCTTCACTTGGCATTTTCAAGATTCACTCATGCTGTAGCATGTATCAGGACTTCATTCCTTTTTATTCATTTTTATCCATACAATTCCATTCTACAGATAATATCACATATTATTTATCCAGTCATCGGTTGATCAGTCATCAAATGAGTTGTTTCCACCTTTCAGCAATTATGAATAATGTTGCTATGAACATTCCTGTACAAGTTTTTCTGGGAACATATGTTTTCATTCCTCTTGGGTATCTACTTAGTAGTGAAGTTGCTGGGTTATATGCCAGCTCTATGATTAACATTTTGAGGAACTTGCCAGACTGTTTTCCAAAGCTGCTGCACTGTTTTACATTCCCAACAGCAGTGTATGAGGGCTCCAAGTTCTCCACATCCCTGCCAGCACTTGTCATTATCTGTCTTTTTCATTATAGTCATCCTAGTGGGTATAAAGTGCTATCTCATTGTGGTTTGAATACTGCTTTAATGAGGCTTATTTCTGATTGGGTATTTTGCAAGATAAGTGATGTTTTTAACCACTTTGCTATAACATGCATTTTTCTCAACTTTGTTTCACCATAAAGATAGTCAGTTTTGATACAGGAAAATGAAAAGTATTTGGTTGTCTATTACTACATAACAAACCACCCCACAACTTAGAGGCTTAAAATAACAATCGTTTTTATTGTCTTTTATGATTCTGTAGGTTGGCTATGCTCAGCTGAGTGATTCTTCTGCTCCTTGTGATAACAGTTGGGGCTGCAGTCACCTCGCAGCCTGACCGCACAGAACATCTCAGATGGTTCACATATATGTCTGGCACCTTCGCAGGAATGGCTGGAAGGCTGGACCCACACAGGATACTTGAGCAGTTGGAACTCTCTCTTTCCATATCACTCTGGGGCCTCTCTCTCTACATGGCCTCTCCAGTGTGAGAGTAGTTGGATTCATACATGGCAGCATAGATATCCCAAAAGTGCAAAAGTGGAAGCCTCAAGAACTTCCTGAGGCCTAGGCCTGGAACTGGCACAGCATCAGTTGCTTCATCCTCCACTGGGCCAGTCTACATTCTGAGGTGTGAGTCCTGGAAGGCATGGACCCTTAGGCGCCAACCACGGAGACCAGCCTCCCCCAGAATAGTTTACTCAGGCAATCATTACAAACTTTCTAATTTACTAATATTACTGTTAAATGCTTTCCATTTTTAAGGCGTTTATGTCATCTATCATTGAGGACATTTTGAGAAGCAAGTAAGAATTTGAGCTCACAAGAAACCACCAATACTCTAAGAAAGCAACTTCCCGCACCTTCCAGATTTCTTGTTCTCTAGGGTATAAAGGAGATACAAAAAGGATCATTTTTACAAAAGAAGCTAGAGAAAAGAAGACCTCCAATGTCAGCTAATAAAGATTTTCCTGTATATGGCAACTGTCAGGTCATTCTCATTTTCAGAGCACACTCTCTTCTGATATTTTTGGATGATTGTCTTGTCCATCATTCCACATGTTAGGCTCTTTCTTGATGTGCATGCTTGGTTTTTCCAACACAGTCCACCTTCCCCCATGTGCCCCACTTTGAAGAGGGAGAGAAGCAGAGGTCTCCATGCCACAGAATTTCAGACTCCAGTCCTAGACAGCACAACTGAAGACATTCTGCATTTCACAACAGTTGAAAGCACCTAGCATCCAATCCAAGGTAAGGTGGGGTTTAATATTTAAAAAGCAGTCATTAAGTCCAACAATGAAGCTGACCCCTGGTGAGATAGGAAGCTCCCACTCCCAGAAGGGTTCAGACAGAATTGGGTCACCTACCAGGACACTACCATAAAGATCTGGCAAAGCTGGAAGAGCCCTAACAAATTCCAGATCTTATTATTTTAAATCTGTTAAATGTAGACAAAGCATTGCCCACTAATGAGAGGCTCAGTTTCTGAAGTTGGACAGATCTGGGTTTATAATCTGGCTTCACCATTTACCAGCTGTGTGACCTTGGATAGGTTATTTAAACTCTGTCAGCCTGTTTCCTCATCTGTAAGGTGGGTGTAATATTATTACCTATATTTCAGATGTGGGGCTGCCGTTGAACCAGAAGACACGCAGATGCCCTAGCCCTGGAACAGCCTTGGAACCCTCTTCAGTATGCGGTCATGGACAATTCTGAGAATCTAATGAGAGTTTTGGGTCCTCCACATTTCCCCAGCCCATATAGGTGTGATGAAAATGTTGCTACACGTTCATGAGGCTCACACACTCATCACTGTCCATCCATGGTCCTTGTAGGGAGTTACAAACCCTCGCTCTAGATGAAACACAGCAGCTAGAGGCTCACAAAGAGAAGGCAGTGAGTCCTCCTGAAAGTCACAGCAGCTCTGAAGGCAAACACGCATTTTGTCTTTGGAGAGTCTCAGTCTGCCTCTTTTATTTCTTCCAGAATTTTCCCTGGATCTTTACTCTTGGTTCTCCCACATAAAGACTTGAAGGCCTGAAGAGATTGAGAAGCTGACCTTAGAAGCCACGTCTGTGATGAAAAAGGAGGAAGGTGACCTTTGCCCATTTTCAGGATCTCACTCAAGCCCTGCCCTGGAGTACCACCCACGGGCTTACCAACCCTACAACCATTTGATGGCGTATCATGTGGAAACTGTGAGCACCCACTGGGTAAGAAGGCCTGGTCCTCTGGCAGATGAAGAGAAATATCAGGTTAACCCATCTCAGGACTAGAGTTATTTTTCTAAGTATATACCAATCCAGTTGGTAGGGTGTCTTCACAAATGAAGAAAACGTTATGATTACTTTTGAGCATATGATGGTTAATCACTGATTTTTATCAAGAAGCAAATGGATAACATCTCTTGCACTTGAATAAGGGGCTTTTGTGTCCCTTACATTATCGTATACATCTCTTAGGTTGTTTTGAGCCAGAGCTTAATTTTTAATAATTCAATAATGAATCTTGTTCAATCTCTCTTAATCTTCTTGCCTAATTCTCTTTTACATTAAGGGATTAAACAACGAAAAGAAGATGTAGCCAAATGATGACTCACTCTTCTTTCAAGGCTGATCCCCAAAAGCAGATAGACGAGAAGAAACGTCCCAGAAGTGAATGAAACACGCAAGTCTAAACTGAGAAATAAATCATCTGAGTTTCAGGCTATTTACGCTAACTTCCCCTTTCTTCCATGACACAAAAATTAGTTTTAAAAGGTTTGCAAATGCTATTTACCGCTGCACAAAAATATTCTCTAATGAAACTGACATTACTAACTCACCATCACGGACTATTTACTCTGAGCTGTTTCTCTTACAGTGGGGATGGGCCACACTGAGTCATCCACACTCCTGCCCAGTCCCTTAAGAACCCAGGAGATTCATTAACTTGCCAACTGTCCAGGATTAGCCATGCAGGGACTGTGGCTGTGGAGTGGGGCCTGGGGCAAGTAGACTGTGGACTTTTGGGGCCCTGGGGCAGTATTAGGCTGAGGAGACTAACAGGAGAGGCTGAGTCTCAGACTGGTTAGATAGAGCCTGATCAGGTCAACTTTCTTTCCAGGACCCAGAAATGGTGCCCCGGTCACGTTCACCGGGCTCTGTGTTGTCCTCACCTACTTCCTGTTTCTGCCCAAGCTGGTGAAGTGTCTCGTGATGGGATGGGGCTAGAAGGGTCCCTGCTCTGGGGCCACCTGTGCTTTGCTCCTTCTGAATTAAACCTCGAAAATTCTCCCTTTTCCACCACATTATTACAGTCTTACACAGCCTTGTGTGTGGAGAACTAAAGTAGGAGCTTCCTATATGCCATGACTTAGGGGTGTCAGATAAAGCCCCTCCCCCAAAGAGACCTGCCACATGGCTTAACATTCCTTTTAGGACACCCTCCTTTTAGGACAAGGCATTGAAAGTGGCTGCTAAAAAGCAAGTGAGGTTTGGATGGTCTAACATATAAACCTACTCTCTCCCACTAACGCTTTTCACGTTAGTTTATCAGATTTGCCCACTAGTATATTTGAACCCTGAAAAGAGTACTCTGGACTGGTTATTTTTACTGCAACCTGAGGCTCAAATTTTCAAATTCGGAATTCTGTATATTTCTGCCAATGATAATTCCAGCCATCACATTGAGACCTTGTGGAGAGAGTATCAGAATATGAAGATATCAAACATGAAACAGTCCACGCTCTGCAACCCACATTCCTCAGCGGGTTCAGAAGCTGCCTTCTTCATATTGCAAGAAAGCAAAAGTCAAACCAAGATTGGAGGAAATGTTTGAATACGATGACCTCTCAATGATCCAAACTAGGAAAGGAAAGTGAGAAAAATTATAAAGACTGTGCAGTAGCAGATTATCCAGCAGAGAAGTTCACGTCTTTGTACGCGCTCCCCTGGGAAGCCTGGCTTTCTGAATTCACTTTTGCCTGGGAACCTGCTCTGTGGAGTGCATGTGTGCTCTGGTCTGTTCCCCTAGCCATGTGGTAAGCCAAACAGGACAGGTTCTGTCCCAGCAAGGATGGAGGATGGCATTTTGGAGACTAAGTTCAAAATAGGAGAGTATTTGCAAACAAACCCACTTGACTTCACAACCATACCACATCCTCCAGTCTAGCTTTGTAATGAAATTAACATTTTGATATCTCTTATATGTGGAATCTAAAAAAAAAAAAAGATACAAATGAACTTATTTACACACAGAAACAGACTCACAGACAGAAAATAAACTTATGGTTACCAAAGGGGAAAGGGAGGGTGAGGGATAAACCAGGAGTTTGGGATTAGCAGATACAAACTACTGTATATAAAATAGATAACCAACAAAGTCCTACTGCCTGGCACAGGGAACTACATTCAATATCCTGTAATAAACTATAGTGGAAAGAATCTGAAAAAGAATATATATATCTATATCTATATCTATATCTATATCTATATCTATATCTATATCTATCTACAGAATCACTCTGCTGTATACCAGAAACTAACACAACATTGTAAATCAACTATACTTCAATTAAAAAAAAATATCTAAAAAGAATCCTAAGAATCCAAATGGGAGGAGATACACTCTTCTGAATTGCCTCACCCTCCATCTAGAGTGACTTTCCATTCCGTCTACCAGATTTCAGGAGTGTACTGTCAGGAGCTCAGGACTGGAAGTTCACTAAGGTATTTCTGACTCAGCCTTTCCCAACAGGCTCACCTGGGTAGTACATGGGCTGAGTCCACAACTTTCCCACACCATCAAGAGACAGCACCCTCTACACCTCCTAGAATAGTGAATACATGAAGTCTTGACACCTACTAAACAAATCCTTCTGTGTTAAGTACCAAGAAACATACTGAGCTTACAAAAATGGAAGAAAAATCCATAAACTCTTTGGATGATCTTACAAACAAGTCATGTCAATAACTATTACATTACATGTTAAATTCTAGACTAGAAGTACATTCGAGGGGTTATGGGCACACAGAGGAGGGGAAGGGAGGGCTCCAAAGAGAATACATATAATTTTTGGCTTCAAGTAATAGAATACAGTGGCCTCAGTAGTGAAGATATTTATTGTCTCATATAATAAGAAATACAAAGGCAGGAAGTGCAGGGTTGGCCTGAATGTCTTTAAGAACCAGGTTCATTTCATTCTGGGCATGGGGAGAGAAGCCTTCATTTTACTTTAAATCTTCTCCACTGTGAATTTAGCAGAAATATTCCATTCTTTTATTCATCATTTCTGATCCAGAAGTTCTAGATTTCTCAGGTGAACAAAAAATATTACAGGATTTTTAAAATTGTAATAACTCACTCAGGCCAAATATGCTTCCTTTATTTATGCTACATGCATGAAGCAATACCTTTCCGTTCTGTAATGGTGACTGTACAACTTGATTGCCTCGAGTGCTGGTGAGTGTGCCTTAAAACAACATCTTGGAGTACGGTCAGCCCACCGTGTCGGCAGATTCAACCAATGAACAGATCAAAAAATAGTCGGGGCAAAAAACATTCCAGAAAGTTCCAAACAGCAGAATTTGAACTTGCTGAATGCCGGCAACTATTTACTTAGCATATACATTGGATTAGGTAAGTGACCTAGAAATAATTTAAAGTATACGGGAGGACTGTGTAGGTTACATGCAAATACACCGCCATTTTATATGACACTTGAGCATCTATGAATTTTGGTATCCATGGGGGTCCTGGAACCAAACCCCCACAATACTGAAGGACATCTACACTGGAATAATTTCTTCACCACTCTAATAAAAATGCCAAACTAGGTCAATTTCTGCTGTCTTTGAAAAGTATTAGGGAGAAAAAGCAAGGCTGCAATTTTTACTGCATTTATTTGATTACACAAGCATAATACATGTGTGTTTTAGAAGCTGTGGGTAATAAAGGAGGTTGTATAAGCTGAAAGTGTGAAGAGGGATGAATGGGGCCCCCTGGAGTTGTGCAGTGCACAATGTATAAGATCGTATGTGGCAACCTATTTCTGAACACAGAGCACAGAAAGGAAAAATTCCCCATGATTCTACCTCCCAGCAACAATCTAATTTTTTTCTTTTGACAGGAAATTAGGATTTATTGGTGGTTGTGAGGGAGGAGGGGATGGTGCCAAGGCTCTAACAATCTAATTATTTTGCTAAGTTTTCTCCCATTCTTTCCTTTAGGTATATTCTATTTTTAAGTGACATTATAATGTACACCTGCTCTATAACCTCTTTCACTTAACAATTAATTATAAACATTTAAAATACCTAATTAAATATTCTCAAAAAGATCATTCTCAATGACACCATATTTTATTATTTCGTTTAACAAACACTTATATTGTATTTTTTAGTTACCAGTCACTACCCTAAATTTGTTAAAAATATGAACTCACATAATCCTGCAGAGATTGCAGGATTTGTTTGCCTCTCCAGATACCTCTACCCTCTCCCACCCTGCTCTGTGCTCCCAAAGGCTCACTTGCACAGACTGCATCCCTGGGCTTCTGTGCCCTCTCACTTCCCTTGGATTCGGCCAATGACAAGTTGTCATTGGATTATCATTCCCAACTCTCTCCCTCTCTCCTGTGTTAGGATTTGCCAGTGGAGTTTGCCTTCTAGTAGAGGACATGGAATATAAATATCTCTACTCTATTTATTTTAGTCTCAGTCATGGGACACGCTTTGGCCAATGGAATGTTTGCAGACTTGGTGTGAGCAGAGGCCTGAAATGGACTTGCATGTTTGGTTTGGCCTCTTGGCCACTGATTCCAAAATAAGAGGCCCAGGAAGCTGACCTGACCCCAACCAATCCAAAGCCTGAAGCAGAGCTCCCTCTGTCAACCTGGGAGTGAGAAAAACCAATGTCTGTCGTTTGTAGCCAGTGAGATTTCGGGTTGTTTGTATGCACCATTATTGCAGCAGGGGCAGACAATCACGGATGTCTCAGAAGCCCGGAGAGCGAGGTTAAGGTATGAAGGGTCACTGGGCTCTCAACAAAGGGCACAGCTCCTCCTAGGAACTCTCTTTCTCTCTCTCTCCAGGTTCTAATACCTGCCCTACTGCTCCCTATGACTTCCTACTATCACTAGCCCAGAGCACTGCACTGTCTTTGGTGGTTTCACTATAGCCTGTCCACACCTCTGTAAAGGGTACCTTTATTAAACTCTACTC